ATTGAGCGCCATCTCATAGCCTCTTTATGCATGCTTCACTTCCCCAGTGCCCCTTGCTTCTCTCCACCCTATGGTTCTACAAATCAATCTGCCCTTTTTAGATACTATGTTCTGAATGTTCCCTTCCCACACCCCCACCTCCCTCAGTTTCCTTTTCCATGGGAATTACTAATGACTAACAGGCTTTTGTCAATCTAACTCTTATGCAGAAACCCACCTACAAAGCTCATAAAAGCATAACTCTGTCTGAAGTGTTGAGGGGGTCTGGGAGCCTTGATGAAAGGCATTTTCTTGCCTTTTCCAGCTTCTAGAGGTTGCCTGCATTCCTTGGCTCATGGCCTCCTTCCCTCTTAAAGCCAGCAATGACCAGTTGAGTCTTCCTCTGACACTGACTCTTCTTTCTCTTTTTCACACATTTAAGGACACTTGTGATTACACTGGGCCCACCTGGATAATTCAGGAAAATTTTCCTATTTTAAAGTAAGCTGATTAGCAGCTCTAATTCCATTGGCTTCCTCATTTCTCATTTGTTGTATAAGGTAACATAGTCATAGTTTCCAGGTATTAATATGTGGGCATCTTTGGGGAGCCATTATCCTGGCTAAAACAGGAGTTTGGTGAGTCCTCTAATTTAGTTTATTCTATTTGCTTTACAAGACCTTAAGATTTTCCTTTCTCTTCTTTTCCTCTTCACCTCTAAATTAGGCAGGGTTCTCAAGATACAGAATCAATGGGATACGTACATATACATGAGTAGATACAGATACATAAAAGGTGATGTGTTAGGATAATTGGCTTAAGAAATTATGGAAGCTAGGAAGTCCCACAACTAGCTACCGGCAATCTGGTGACAAATGGGATGCAGGTAGCCTTGCTTAGTCCAAGTCTAAATGCCACGGAATTGGGGAGGCCAATGGTGTAATTCTCAGTCCTGGGCCAAAGACCTGAGAATGCATGGAACCACTGGCTAAGTAAGTCCTGGACTCCAAAGGCTGAAGAGCCTGGAGTTCTGATGTCCATGGGTAGGAGAACAGTATACCCACTTAAAGCAAGACAGAGGCCGGGCGTGGTGGCTCAAGCCTGTAATCCCAGCACTTTGGGAGGCCAAGGCAGGTGGATCACGAGGTCAACAGATCGAGACCATCCTGGTCAACGTGGTGAAATCCCGTCTCTACTAAAAATACAAAAAAATTAGCTGGGCATGGTGGCGCATGCCTGTAATCCCAGCTACTCAGGAGGCTGAGGCAGGAGAATTGCCTGAACCCAGGAGGTGGAGGTTGAGGTGAGCCGAGATTGCGCCATTGCACTCCAGCCTGGGTAACAAGAGCGAAACTCCATCTCAAAAAAAAAAAGCAAGACAGAATTTGCCTTTGCGTTCTATCTGGAACTCCGGCTGATTGGACGGTGCCCATCACATTCAGGGTGGATCTTCCCGACTTAGTCTATCAGCTCACATGCCCATCTTCTCTGGACCCTTACAGACACACCCAGACGTAAGAAATTACCCGCTCTCTAAATATTCCTTAATCCAGTCAAGTCGACCCCTAAAATTAACCATCAAAGCCTCCCAGTTGCCAGGTCAAGGTGGCAGTGAGCTGAGATTGCACCACTGCATGCCAGACTGGCTGACAAAGTGAGACCCCATCTCAAAAAAATGAAAAATAACGAAAAAAAAAAAAAAAGCCTCCCAGTTGCCAAAGGGTATGTCTCACAATTTTTTTTTTTTACTTTATTCTCTCCCAAAAGCTGTTTCAAAAAAGGCCCCTTTATAACAAGCCCGTCCTTTTACATCTTGCATACTTTGAAGTCTCTTCCCTGTAGCTCATGCTCTGCTTTGCCTGAAGACTTTCATGGTACTTTCTGATGGTTTTAGATCGACTTTCGGCCCTTGCTTTCCTGTCCTTCCCACAGTTTTCCTTGGTTTGCCCTAGCCTTTCTGTGGGATGAGGCTGAAGCTGGTGCGTGAGAGACAGACCAAACTTTTAAATTCACGGTTATTTTGAAGTTTTACTAGTCTCTGTTCTCAAGAACTAGTGAGTGCATGGTTTTTCAGTAGACGTACTTTTCCTTTCTTTCTCGTTTTGTATGATTTCTGAAGGTAGTATAATATTAGGGGACTGCTCGGTAGACCATGTCCATTGTCTCAAGCTACCCACAGGTTCTACATTTTGATTTGATTTCACAATATTAAGAACATACTCCACAAGAGGTATTTGTAAATGGTAGCTTTTTTTTTTTAAACAGCCCATGTTCCAAATTCCTTATTTTAACAGGTCCTAAGACCTAAGAGAAACAAAAAAGAAGTATTTTTTAAGTTAATTGTCTCACAACATGTACCAACTGCTTAGCTTTTCTTAACTGATGTTAGTCAACTTTGAAGTTGTACAAGAACTGTAGTCAATTTAAACCTTGATTGTTTTGTGGTTGTTTCAATAGTAGCTTACAGTTTTGAGATAGAGATGTATTTTCTTATAAGTCAGACACATTGGTGCTTTGTAGTCCATCGTAGGGATACTGTTCTTTCTTTGCGTGATGGGGTATCATTGAAGTATTTTGATCAGAAGAGTGACCTGCATTTAACAGAATCACTGCAAGTGCTTTGCTGGAGTGTAGACTGTAGGGAGGAATGGCCTGAAGCAGTAGACCAGTAAAGCAGCAGTTGTAATGATGCCAACAAATGTAGGGGTCTCATCACAGGTTAGCCATGGAGGGAGGGAAGGTCATACAATTCTGAATATGTTTTGAAGGTAGAGCTCATAGGATATCATGAGGGATTGAACATGGGATTTGACAGAAAGAATAGTTAAGGATCATTGCAAGATTTTTGGCTTGAATAGACAGAAGATATGAAAGCAGCTGAGGTTTAAAGGTATATTTCTGGAAGATTAAGATTGAGATGCATCTAAGAGGAATTTCAAGTAGGCAGGTAAATATATGAGTTTGAGATTCAAGAGAGAAAACCTAGGATGGAGTTATAAATTTTGGAGTCATTAGCATCTAGATGGTTTTTAAGGCCCTGAGACTGGATAAGATCATAATGAACTGAGTTGAGAGAGAAAGGGGCTTAGAGGCTGAACTCTGGGCATACTGAGGTTAGGAGAGGTGGGGGATGAGTAGAGAACAGCAAAATAGACGACGAAGTGAAAAGACAGCTGATGAAGTACAGAGTCACAGGAGCCAAATGAAGAAAGTGCTGAAAGGAGAGAGTAACTGTACTTTTTAAGTAAAGGAAATAAGGACTAGGAATTGACCACTGAATTTAGTAACCTGAAAAGCATTAATGACCTTGCCAACTGTAATTTCAGTGGAGCAATGAACTGAAGACATTCGAGTGGGAAGAAGAATTGGAGGCAGCAAGCAGAAACAGCACTTTTCATTGTTTTCTCATATGCTGTAAGATAGGTAAAGCGATCCATCCGGATGGAAGCTGAAAGGAGAAGTGGGACAGAGAGGGTATCTTTTGGTTATTTTTTCAATGGGAAAAGTTACAGCAGACTTATATGCCATGGGAATGATGCTGTAAAGAAGGGATATTAGTGATGGAGTAGGAAGAAGCTTTCTGGATTCATGACTTTGAGTAGAGATAAAGTGATAGACTCCAGTTCACAGATGAAGATGGAAGCGCCGACAAGGCCTACTTGATAAAGATGGGAAAGTAGAGTAAGCGGAGAGGCAGATGTGAGTCGATGAATAAATGCATGAGAGTACCCTGTGAAAATCCTTTCCTGATTGTTTAGGTGAGAGTAGGATGGAGGCAGAAATAAGGGAAATCAGAAAAAAAGGAAGAGCCAGTAAAAACCATCTACTAGACTGGGTGAGATGGAGGCAGCCTGGAAAATGGTTCTGGCAATTTAGTGTTACTGCCAGAAAACGCCTTGAGGCGAGGAGTTTTACATTTTAGAGTGAGAGCAGTCAGCATGATGGTGTGTTTTTCTTGAACCACATTTTTGCTACACAGAAGTAGGTACGGATAAGTGAGGAGTTGAGAGTGTATAATAGGAACACTTTAAATATTATAAATGACTTGGCCTCACCCACTTTCAGATATTTGTTTAGTTGAAGGGCTGGGCCACTGGTTAAAGCACCCAAGATAATTCTAAGTGAAGTCAGAGTTAAGTTGCTGGAGTATTACATAGCTTTTGCCTGAAGTAGTTAGGAGTATGGACAAATTGTTGTGGATTATAAAGCTAAAGGGTAAGTTTAATTGTGATTTATTCATTTTTGGATAATCCTGGTCTAGAATTTTTGGACTGGGGGAAGTTCCCAAGATGCTTAAAAAAGATGAGAGTAAAGAAAATGTCTGACGTTTGCTCTGTGGCTTACAGGTGTGTGTGTACACACACACACACACACTCACACATATACACACATACACACACATACACATACACTCACACACACACATACACTCACACATACACACACTCACACACATACACATACACACATACACTAACACACTCACACATACACAACATACACTAACACACACACGGACACACATACACACATACACTAACACACATACACAACATACACTCACACACATATACACACATACACTCACACACAAACACACGCTCACACACATACACTCACACATACACACAAACACACACATACACACTCACATACACACACATACACACACACATATCCACATGCACACACACACATTCACACATACACACTCACAGAAAGAAAAAGAAAAGAAAATGTCTCATATTTTTCATCTCTGCCCCTATCATGGGAAAAGTATCCAGAAAGTTTAGATGTAATATTTTAGGCATTTGAAAATTTTTAAACACTGTACTAACTTGGGCTGAGCATGGTGGCTCATGCCTGTAATCCCAGGACTTTGGGAGGCCGAGGCAAGTGGATCACCTGAGGTCAGGAGTTCAAGATCAGTGGCCAACATGGTTAAACCCCATCTCTACTAAAATACAAAAATAAAAAATAAAAAGCCAGGCCTAGTGGTGGGGACTGGTAATCTCACCTACTTGGGAAGCTGAGGCAGGAGAATTGCTTGATCCCGGGAGGTGGAGGTTGCAGTGAGCTGAGATTGTGCCACTGTATTCCAGCCTGGGCAAAAAGAGTGAAATTCCGTTAAAAAAAAAGTTATACTAAGTTGGATAGAAATAAATCAGCTTATGAATCTTTAGCAAACATGTTAAATTATATTTTTTAACATAGAAGATTTTTACGCTGTTTCAGCCTGAAGCATTTTGTGTGTAAAATTGAAGTCCTGACAGTAACAAAGCAGAGAATATATTTTCAATTTTTGATATGAAACACATTAATAAGGTTATTGAAACATTTTTAGTCTATAGATGGATTACTATAATCCATCAGAAAAAAAAGAAACACGATGCTTTTTCCAAGACATGCAAATTATCTTGCTTTGAACCTAGATTTTGAATAAAATGGTTTCCTGAGTATCTTTTGCTCTGAAGCAGTAAAGACTATGGGAGAGTTTACTGTGATTTTGACAAACTGCGACTTCTTAGTACACAAAACACAGCGAACATTTTGTATTTTTTGGAAAGGAGACATAAAACTTTCAAGTTTAGAGATTCATTTTATCAGCTCAGGAAGTTAAAAATTAACGATGCTACCTATGTACACAGCAGACATTCAGAGCAAAAAAGGTGGGCCAATAAGTGAGTATGCGTATACTCCTTTTTGTAAAAAGTTATTGAAAACTTGCTTTGAAATAAATATCTATTATTTATTTCTTGTTATGAATAAGGCAGAATTCTCAGTCTTCAAGTCACAGGAGTTTTATCTGAGCAAATTTCCAGCAAGAATAAGGTATCTTCCATTTTATTCCTTTTTCTACAGAAGAGATGCAAGAAACCAAATACTTGTGACTTGAAGTCACAAGTGTGACTTCAAGAAACCCAAGCCAGTGCAAACAATTCAAAAAATAATGGAACCGACGACAGCAAACCTTTCAGGAATACTATGGACATTTATTCCCTCTGCTGTCATTTATGTTTCTGTAGCCAAGATTCAGTTAGACCTCAGTGGAGACAACTCCCTAGAAACAATTATCCCTGCTAAAGCTGCTCTAGGAGCACAGGAATTCCTTTGATGAGCTCTAAGAGATTGGAAACAATACCTCCTGAAGGGCCATGTTGCTAGGTAACAGCTTGTTTCCTTGGTCACGGTGAATCCATGGAAGACCTCCAGAAGAGGCTGCACATTCTTGGTGGACAGCTCTGGTATCCCATCCAGGGAACATGATGAAAAATGTCTTCAGAAAAATAGCTTTATGAAGGCAAGAGGAATTTTTGCAACTGCAAGACATGTCTGAAAGGTAGGAAAATTAAATTAAAAGTAATCATCGTCATTAGAGGAGAGAGGGAAAAAAAGCCAAACGAATGTAGATAGTGTTACCAGATTAAATTTCCTTTAGAGACGGAAGTCATGCAGCCTGTGTTACTGATTATGGTTATCTTCAGAGAGAAGCAAACTCAACTGCCACTCTCTCCCCTAATACCATGTCACTGGTTACAAATGCAATGCAGTTTCTGTGCTTATTGTTGTGATGGAGACAGGTGGGCTTACTCTTTTAGTAACGGTATGTCTAAGAGACATGGGACGCTTCAAGAAAGCATTTGTGATTTTCATGAGAAAAATGGGCAAGATAGCTGAAAGGTAATATTTATTAGTGTTTCCATTTACATGAAATTACTATAATAAAAACAGGACTTATGCCAGCTCATTAAAGTCATAAATTAGATTAAGTACAGGCCAAAACCCAATATTTGTTTTCTCACTCCTAAATTTCACAGCTGTTTCATAAGTGTTTCTCAAACATGCTGAAAATTAAACAATATACAATTAGAGGGTTTGCAGTTTTCTTGAATTGTTTGTTTTTACATTAGTATAAAACCTGGCTCTCCCATTTTAAAAATGATATTTGCATCTTCAATTTTCAAGATTAAGTATATCGTGGTTTCATAAAAGTGTATGAAACTTTATAGCTTCCATTTACTGCCTATAATGGAGAAATGAATTGTGTTTATGTGAGGGATTGGAATAGCAAACGTGTCACAGAAGTTCTGTTTGTTTACTCAACTCTGCATATCTCAAACAGTGTCAAGGTACTTGATTTTAATGTTAAAAGTTAAATGTGTATTAATTTGGAGAAATTAGCACACAAAACAATAGTTTAAAATGGATAGTCGTTCTGTGCAGAATTGTAAACTTCGTTTTTTCTGTTTGCTAAAACTCCTTTAGTACACTATAACAAAAGAAAGTTTATTTGTTCGGTATAAAATAATCTTTACTATCGATATTGTTGTTTCTCAACTAGGACATCTTTATAAAATGATTGTAGAGACAGCCTAAAAAGTGATACCCAGGATGCAATTTATTTTATTTTTTATTTTTGGATACACAGTTTCAGTCTATTACCCAGGTTGGAGTGCAGTGGCACAATCTCAGCTCATTGCAACCTTTGTCTCCCAGGTTCAAGCTATTCTTGTGCCTCAGCCTTCCGAGTAACTGGGACTACAGGCCTGTGGGACCACACCTGGCTCATTTTTGTATTTTTAGTAGATACAGCATTTCACCAAGTTGTCAGGCCATTCTCAACCTCGTGAGTTCAGGCAATCCATCCACCTGAGCCTCCCAAAGTGCTGGGATTACAGACATGAGTCACCACACCCAGCCTACACTCAGGATACAACTTAAACTTTAATCTTCAATTTGTGAAAGGCAAAAGAAAAGATGAAAGGAAGGAAGGGAAAAAAAGGAGAGAGTGAGAGAGAGAGGGAAGGAGAAAAAAGTTTCTTTGATGCCAGTATTTCTTCAACCACATTTCTGCACATCATGAAACAAGAATCTTATTCATCCCACCTTCCTAAAACACGGTCAATTTCCTTTGGCATTTTAGTTTTATTTCTGCTAGCAAGATCTACCTCAGTCACATATTGTCTTTTCGTATCTATATTCTTCTAGCTCATATTGTATGTGGTTAAATTTTCAAAGCTGTAACAACATAGGGAGTAGTAGATATTCCTCAAGCATTGAAAACCACCTAAGCAACAGCTATAAATGTTGTTACAATAAAACTCTAAAAATTTCTAAATATAATTTCATGGAGGGAACATAGAGATAGCTCAGTCTATCTTCACTGGTTCTTTGAGTACATCTTTCGCTTCTATAAATGTCAGTGAACCCACATGTCGCCATTGAAGTTTACAAGTTTTCCCTCTAGAGAAGTATTATAGGTGTTTGTTCTTTTACTTTTGTTGTACCTTAATTTGGGGGCCTACAAATGTTTATAAGAATGTGTGGGGGGCTAAAATAGGGACTTGCAAAATTTATAAGAATAAAAATTGAGTCACATAAAATCTGACTCATTCAGACTGAGGAACAGAAAAAGCAATTGCAATTGTGAATTTTTCAAAATAGAAATTTATTGTTGTATGCCTTTAGAATCAACAATCTAAATCATTTAGATTAAAATTCCAGACTTTGGGTTAACAAATATTTTTAGAATATCTCTAAAACACCTAGCTTTTCAGAATAGTTTATTGATAAATATTTACTCAATTTACGTGTTTAGTTCCAGAAACTTAATTTAAAGCCATCAGTAGGTAGTAATAATCTTCAAATTAAAACATCTAGCAAATTTGCCAGTCTAGAAATTAACCACTTGGCATATCACATTTCTTCCTGATTTTGTGATAACCTCATTCAGAGTACTTTCAGTTATCTCCTTATCATGTCTGGCATGTAAAGTACAATCATTACCCATTTTACAAACAAAATACAAGCATAGAGAGGACAGAAACTCTGGGTTTTTTAAAAGAAAAAAATGGTCTAAGAAATCAAAGAGGCTGAATTTATCTTTCTTTTCATCCAAATGTAATGCTATAGTGTTCCCTGTAATTCTCTTCTAGCCCATGCTTCAGAAGTACCTGACTTCACTGACTTTGAGACTCTGGCTCAGTATTTTTTTTGGAGGAGAGAAGGAGGCTGAGAGATTGGAAAGAGTAGTGCCCTTTGCCAACTGAAACGCTTTGCTAACTGCAAAATAAAGTTCAACATGCTTTCCTTCCTTCTTTCCTAAATACAAAGCTGTCATGCTGAAGCAATGAATATAAATGGAACATTTAGAAACTGGGTTGTATTCTATACTGTTCTGACAATCCTACATGTCTTAAAGGAGCTCCATGGCCTGTGTATGATGTGTGCTCAACACATCTTTATGCGACTAAAGAGCTCAACTTCACCTTAGAAACAGGGCCGTTTGTCATGTCCTCCTTCACTTGCCTTACAAAGTTACATAATCATCAACTTGGCATTTTAATTAAACAGATAGCAACAGTTGCTACAGACAATTTATGAGGCTTATAAATTTGTGATTGTAAAGAACATTGCACTCCTCTGATGAAAGGGCTCATGAATTGATAAGTTTTATTATTGTTGTTCATTCAGCAGGCTCAGCTCACCTGATTCCTTTTTGTTAGCCATTCCACACTTTTTTTCAACCAAGACTAGATGGCCAATTCAGATAATGCCAGCTATTTTAAAGACACTATAAATCATGGCTGACAAATGCTGTACAGTTTTAGCCATGGCACCCTCTCCATGGCAGCTTTATATTGGAACATTAATAAAATTAATTCCTCTTTCATAAAGGTTTAGATTTGTAATTTATGATAACTGTTTGTTCACTGCAGGAAGAAAGATTAAAACTGAGTAAACCAATATAACAACGAAACTGCATTTGTCTGGTTTTATTTTTGGGGGGAAAGAGGGGCGGGAACATTTAAAAAACAGCTTGATGTTATCTGGAATAATGTTCTCATAGGTTCTACTACTGAAGGCTTAACTTTTGTGTTCAGTAAGTAATAACTGCTTGAATTTACATGTTCTATTAACTAGTACAATTATTTATATGTGTTTAAGTGATTAAAATAAGAAAAATCAATGTTAATGATTTTTCTTAACACCTGCACCCTAATAGTGATAGATCTCCACAGTTATTTAAGGAATCACAGTAGTTATCTGCATCTTCTATGAATTCTAGTGGTTAAGATGACTGGTTAATTATTAACGTAACTTGGGCAAGCTACCCTGTCTCTCTGTGCCTACATTTCCGCATCTATAAAGTTGAAATGTTATTTATTTCATTAGGTGATTGGAATGATTGAGTTAATTCATGTAAATCTCTCAGTATAGTGCCTACCATATAGCAAATGTCAATAAATAAAAACTATGAAAGTATAATTTTAGTAATAGCAGTACTTGCCATTATAGCAGTAATATTATAAAACAAAACACCCTGTCCCTGAGGCACAGTCCACATTGTCATTGAATATTAAAGATACAGAACTGAGGATCGGAGATGATGCTAAGTGCCTTGACCAGGGTGTGGTGCCTGGAGTAATGTAAGAATGTGAGAAAAGGAATCCAGACTTCGGGGCCTACAAGTAGATTTCATACTCAAAGACAATCAGACTAGTCATCTATTGGTTGGAATTTTCTTAGCTGAAACACAATCATTCTTCAATTCATTCTGAAAAATAATGAAATGCATTGAGAGAGAGAGGAAGAGAGGGAAGGAAGGAGAGAGAGGGAGAAAACTGGTAAGGGTGTTAGTGAACTACTTACTTGTATTACTAAAGTTTTAATTACCTTCTATTATTAATAAATGCCTGGTCATTACTGGGATGTCATAAAAATTTCTAGTTTAAACCAGAACGAAATCTAATATAAACTAAGATAATGAGATAATTTTCACTTATACTTTTAAACTTAATTTCACTTAAGGTTGTTATGCTTAATCTTGCAAAACTACACAAAAAGCTATAATAAAATCCCAATCAAATAAATCTTTATCAGATCTTGTAATTATGTGAACTTTATTTTCCTTGTGTCCTACTTTAAGGAGATTGTATAAACACGATAATGCCACATCTCATACTTCAGATTAAAACACAAGAGGGAGGGAGACGTCCAGGTTATTCTATTAACACAACCCCTCATTTTTTAACTGTCACTGGAGTTTATAATCACAAGACACAAGTCACTGAACGAAGATTTATCCATATCCAGTGTCCTTATTTTTCTTATTTTATTTTGGCATAAATAGGCTAGCATATTTTAGTAAAGACAAATGAACCCAAAAGTCAGTTAAACTTTCACTCCTGTTAATCCTGATTTATTATTCTATTTTCCCTCAAGTTTTTTCTCATAATTATCGGCTAAAAATCCAGTTTTAGATGGCAGGATTTATCTGCTTCAGAAATAATAAAATTCAGAAATTGTGTTTTTCTTATGTTTGTTAATTTGTGTTTATGACACGATGCTTTTTGATAATTTAAAAAAGCAGTATCTAAACTGTTAAAAGAATTGCTCAAGTGAGAAAAAAATGAAATACATATATATATTTTTACATAATTAAGACCAAATTTTTGACTTTTGAATTTAGTGGCAGATAGAGAAATAATTTTCTCCTTGATCATAAGTCATTTAAAAAAATTTAATGGCTCAGTAATGATATTTTAGAATATGATGCTGTTTAAAAGAATGATCCTGTTTTAGAATATAATGGTTGTGCTCTTCTATTGTACAAGCTCAGTTAAGAAGTGAAAAAATGAAATATGTTTCTACATTGTACTCCATGAAGGCAGCCTTAATAAACAAGTTGTGTGTAGTTTCCTATCAGTAAAATTGCTATTAGGGTCATTATTAATGTACTAATATAGAATCTTTCTCTTAAGATTTTTAGAGATTGAAAAATAATCTACTGAGAGGAAAAAAGAGGCCATAAATATAAAAATATGTGATCCCTAGGTTCAATTTACACACAAAAGTATTTAGATCAAAACATTTTAAAATTATTGGCTCAACAGCATGTACAGCATCAATTACAGAAAGAGAAACATCACTATTTCCAAGGAGAAAGGGAAAGATCTCAGAATAACAATGAATATTAAACCAGAGAATTGGTATAAAAGAGCAGAAAATATTATTTTACATCTCAGTGGTATAAATATAGGAATACAAGGAGAATTAGAGTGTTGTTATATGAAAGGTTGAGTGGCATTCCTAAGTAAGTAAAATTGATTAAAGAACCTGATTTTTAAGTTGTTTGCCACTAACTGAGGAAATATAACAGACTTAGGGAAAATATCAGGGAAAATTTAAGTTCCAGAATCCGGGGGAGACCAATAGAGATTTTAAGGGTGCTTGTACTTGCCAAATCTGTAGCTGTAGCTCTACTAGGCAAGATGTTCCAGTATGAGAGCTGTCCTGCTTGGTATCTTATAAGCCTATGTGTATGCGTGTATGTGTGTGCGTGCGCATGTGTTTTCATATATACTATTAGATGATTTTTCTAAGACACACAGTCTATGTCGACACCCTTATCTTTGAGAAGAATGTCTCAAGTGACCATTAGCCATAAAAATTTGGTTAGAACTATGAAAAGAGGTAAAAGTCCTTCTAAAATCTATGGTTTTATCTTTCTCTCAAGGGAAATCTTTATGTTTATTTCGTTGGTTTTGTTTTTTGGTTATTGGTTTTAATTTTTTAATTTTTATTTTTTGAGGGAATCGCTGTCTCCCAGGTTGGAGTGTAGTGGCATGATCTCAGCTCACTGCAACCTCTGCCTTTCTGGTTCAAGTGATTCTTCTGCCTCAGCCTCCTGAGTAGCTGACATTACAAGCCCAGCCACCACAGCCAGCTAATTTTTGAATTTTTAGTAGAGACGGGGTTTCACCATGTTGGCCAGTCTGGTCTTGAACTGCTGACCTAGTGATGTGACTGCCTCAGCCTCCCAGAGTGTTGGGATTACAGGCCTGAGTCACTGTGCCCAGTCTGTTACTGTTTTAAACTAGAATATTTACATTTTAAAACTTTAAAACAGACATATGAACACTTTAAGCATTTTCTTTTCTCAGCTCCTCAAGTCAAAATACAAGTGGTCAAGAGCTTTGTCCATCTAATTCCTCATGCTACTCTGATCCAAGTGAGACCCACATTGGGTCAGCTCCATCAAGCAGAGGAATATTTCACCTGCGTTTGGATTCTGGAATATCATCCTTGGTAAATATTTTAAATTAACTCTTTACCTGATAAGTTTATAAAACATTTTATTTGATATTCAACATTTTAAAGTAAGTGTATTAGCTGTTCACCCCTACCTTTGTAATTGTGAGAGGAGAAATGAAAGGTTGATACTCTCAGTCCCAATTAAGAGAGACAAAAAAAAAAAAAGAAGTTGGAGTAGAGGAAGGAAGATCAAAGAGGAGGAGGAAATGAGTAGAAAAGATAATGATGGCTGGGCACTGTGTCTCAAGCCTGTAATCCCAGCACTTTGGGAGACCGAGGCAGGCGGATCACCAGGTCAAGAGATCGAGACCATCCTGGCCAACATGGTGATACCCTGTCTCTACTAAAAATACAAAAATTAGCTGGGTGTGGTGGCATGCACCTGTAGTCCCAGCTACTTGGGAGGCTGAGGCAGGAGAATTGCTTGAACCTGGGAGGCAGAGGTTGCAGTGAGCCGAGATTGTGCCACTGCACTCCAGTCTGGCAACAGAGCAAGACTCTGCCTCAAAAAAAAAGAAAAGAAAAGATAATGACTCTTAAACCAAAATGGCACTCCTTCCTTTCTCCTGCTGAGTGCAAATTCTCTCCAGTCTGAGATTTACTTTCCTTTCTTTCTGGAATTTCCTTTGTCTGTGAGATACATTTTTCTTTTCTCCCAGACTCACCACTTGTAAGACATTCTCTCTAAGCCATCTAACTGGAATCACACATGCCTTTTCTCCCTTCCCTTTATACGTAATTATTCCAGGCATCCCACTGAATTAAGATGAGTTATTAATATGTCTACCTCCCAAATTATAGAAAGTTAGTTTTTCAAGCACAACTATTGTGTTTTATTCAACGTTGTAACCCCAGTGTCTAACAGAGGGCCTGACATATAATGTGGTAAAATATATGTTTTTTGAATAAAATGAAATGAAGCATGCTAGCATTAAACATATTTATTGAACAATACATTAATCAATTGGCCTATCAGAATTTAAAAAAAGAAAGAAAAAACTACAGGACAAGACACAAATATTCAGTTTCTTTAGGAAGGAACAACTGTCACACATCTGCACCCCTCTGAAAACCTTACACAGAAAAATAAAAACCTGCAGCAGCTCATTTTCCTACAATGTCAGAAATTTCAAAATCAACCATTTAGCTCCTTTAAAAATCAAACAGGCTTTTTGTACGAAAGTAGATGTCTAGTGAAAAATACAAAGTTTCCTCTTGAATACAGCTTTAGCTTAGAACAATTTTTCTTTTCCCAGCACAAGCCTCATAAGATAGCACAGAGGCAGTGGGTGTGGCAATCCTAGGAAACTTAACTTCCAAGAAATTTTTATTCTATAATAGAAACAAGAAAACAAAAATTCCAAAAGCATATAACATGTTGGGAAAGAGGCTTTCGTAACCATATAAACTGAACAGCCAAGAGTAGGCTGTGGGCTATATTCCTTTATAATCTAAAATGTTTTGTGTTTATTGTTTTCCTAAAGGAATAGTACAAGAAGATGAGTAATTCCTTGAAAGCAAATCCTCAAACTATCTCTAAGAACTGCTCAAGCATAAGTTAACTTTTCAGTGTTGCTATTAATAAGGGAGACAGCTTTTGTTACTGTACTATTTTTTAAATGGAGATACTAGGATATTTACTGAAGCAATCAAGGTTATTTAGTGAGTAAGTAATGTAGCTAACATATCAAAGTTAAATTATTATCAAAAAACCAACTCTTTTCAACTTATTTTGGGGCAGCACTTTCCCAAAATTCTGCTCTAAAGAATATTTGTTCCAAACACTTAATATTTTTTAAACTAAATATTCTGAATTTGTTTTTACACATGTATAACTTTGGCTAAAAGAATGAATGAATGAATCTGTTGTAAAATTTAACATAATATTATTTTCAAGTAATATGCCTTTTGTTTGTGTTAACCCTGAAATGATCACAAGTTATATAAAATACTGAAGTTTGGATCTATTACAACCTCAATGTTAGTAAACAACTAAAATGGTCCCAAATGTGATCCTGGTACTTGTTCCATTCAGTAATATACTGTCTAGAACAAGATAGCTATACCTGAAATATTTCATTCAGTTTGAACTACACATTTTAAGAGCAATGTCAATACGTTGAAACTCTTCCCAAGAATAACCACCAAAATGTTTACTAATTTATAAATCATTATCTATGATTAATAAATGTCTTAGAAAGAGAATAACAACTATTACTAAACATTTAAAACAGTAATAATACGTGGAGGGATTCTCTGTGGAGCCTTAAAAAATGTAACTTGAACAATTGGAGCAAGTTAGAAGGAGTATATAATCAACAGAAGACATCTTAACAATTAGAACTGTTATAAATGGAATGAGACTGCTCATGAGATAGTCAATAAATATTAAAGGACAATTTATACAAATTGGCCTAAAGGGGATCATGAAAGGGCACCTATATTTACTCATGATGACATTTGCCATCAAATGTAAATCAGCTGCAGGTGTTGGGGACGCAAAGTTGAATAAGAACACATAATTTAGATTGGACTAAGATGATTTCCATGAGCACACCATTAGATATTTGTAGTTCAGTTTGGCTAAGTGTTTGGCATGGATTCGCATTACTTTTACACTCGGAAGTAAGTGAACTACATATTGCCAGATGTTACATATTTCTCTTCTCTCTTATTTTAAAGCTTCCTTCAGATTCTTGTAAGTACCTCAGTAGGCACAAGGTAGAACAATATGGCATTCAAGGAAGTCAACTGCGTTGCCCAACAGTAAGAGAAGGTAAAAGAATAAATGTGTGCCTTTTTTGTGTACATCCTCTGAGTAGAATTTTTTGTGGATTAAAATACATTATTTGAAGAAAGAAAAAGACATCATCTGGAGATAAAATTTTCCTTTTTCAAGACTATAGAACTGTTGATATGTGAAGCCACCTTTGAAAGCATATTCTTATAACTGATTATGTAAATAACATTCAGCATTATTGGAAAAAATTAAAGAACCTATAACTGACTATCCAGAATAACTACTCTGACTTTTGTTTCCATTTACTCTTTTGTTGTAAAATATATACATACATATATATGTAGACACACATGTAATTTTTTCACTTAAAATAAGCATTTCTTTCATTCCATTAAACATTACCCAAATCATACTTTTTAAAGCTTACATAATTTTCTATATCATTAAATGTATTTAACCAATAATCTTTGTTGAAAATTTAGTTTATTTTTTATAACAATGTTATTCACAATATATATATTCCTCTCAATATGTACATCTGTATATTTATATCTACATATTGAGATATATAGATATAGATATATATATATAGAGAGAGATCTCTAAGTAGTTAGAGACTTATTATAGGAATCACATGATTACAGAGACTGAAGTCCTGCAGTATGCCTTCTGTAAGCTGGAGAAACAGGGAAGCCAGTGCTATAATTTGGTCTGTGTCTGAAGATCTGAAAATCAGGAGGCTGACAGGGACACTCAATCAGGGTCTATCAGAGCCCACATTGGTGAGGGCAAATCTTTGCTCAGATTGCTGATTCAAATGCCCATCTCTTCCAGATATGCCCTCACAGATGGATAATTTTAGGTGTCAACTTGATTGCATTAGAGGATAAGTAGATAAACTGGTAAGGCATTATTTCTGGGATTGTCTGCCATAGATTGGCAGTTTCTGAGGGTGTTTCTGCCATAGATTGGTATTTGAACCAATGGATTGAATAAGGAAGATCTGCCCTCACTGAGTGTGGGTGGGCACTCTCTAAGTGGTTGAGGACCCAGGGAGAACAAAAATGCACAGAAACAATGAATTTTCTTTCTCTTTTGGAGTTGGGACAATGATCTCCTGCCCTTGGTCGCGAGAACTCAAAGGTCTTTGGCTTTTGGACTCTGGGACCTGGATCAGCAGGCCGTCAGACTCTCAGGCATTCCCAGCTCTTTATCCTCACACTCAGTGACACCATCAGCTCTCCCACTTCTTAGGCCTTTAGACTCAGACTGCTACACCACTGGCTTCATGGGTTCTCCAGCCTGCAGACAGCATACTGTGGGACATCTCAGCCTCCATCACTATGTAATCCAATTCCTATAATGACCCCCCTTTCATATCTTTCTCTCTCATATTGGTTCTGCTTCTCAGGAGAACCCTGACTAATAGACATACCCAGGGACACTGTCTCACTTGTTATCTGGGTATTCCTTAATTCAGTCAAGTTGATATCTAAAATTAACCATCACGCTAAATAAATCAGGTAGTCTCTTTTTACATTTTCACACGGCAGTTTAAATTTGATAGAATAACTGTTTTTGCTATTACTGTTTTATTCTATCAGATTGTATAAGGGTAATAGTATAACAGTATGAATAATTGCTCTCTGCAGTCATTGATATACCTAATGTTTGATTTCAAGTGGCTTTCAATAGATTATAAATTCCTAAGAACAGAAGCCATGTGTCTTTTTTTGCATCCACAAAAGCCAATGAAATATTAGACATAATTCCTGCTTCAATGAGTGTTTAGTCTCTAGGAAACAAATATCTTGGCTATCTTCCATCTATATTATTGGACTTGTAGTAATATTGTATATTGTATAATTTTACTGATTTAGGAAAAGTGGCTTTAGATTCACTTATCTGCCCATTTCCCCTCTCAGAGGATCCCCACTTGATGCTTGTCTTCTTTCGTTCAAACTCAGTTGGCAAAGGAAGGGGAGAACTAAAACAGCATAATTTTCTTATACTTTGAGTAAAATATGTTCTTATGCTTTAACTCTGTCAGCTCTATTTGCAGCCAAGCACTGCCTCCTATTTTTAAAATGTGAGTAGATAGTACTACTAGGGATAAATTAGAGTCGTCCTTTGGGTACCTTAGAATTTTTTTTCCCCCAAGAGTGAGAAATTGTGAGGAATTAGAAGAGAACAACACCAAGAGAAGTGGTGGCTCAGTGTGTCGCATGTGTAAGGAGTCCTCCAGCAAAAGGAAAAAAGAGCTATGTCACAGATTAAAGCAGCAAGGATTTAATTTAGTCCCTCAGCTTCAGTGCATGAACAAATCATCTTGAGGTGTATGAAAAGTCAGATTCCTGGGTCCTACTCCCAAAGAATCTGCTGTAGTTAGTAAGGCACAGAGCCCAGAATCCAGATTTGTGAAAAAATATCACAGGGAATTCTGTTGTAGATGATTTGAAGGCCATCGTATGAGAAACACTGTTTAAGAGGTATGAGGAAAGGAAGAGGATAAGGAAATCTGAATAGAAAGTGAAAAGACTGATGAGTAAAAATGCTGACATGAGTGTGTGTATGCAGGGGCAGGCGGTTGATAATTGTGGCTGTCACAGAGAGGCAAAAAGAGATTGTATTCTGAGCACAAGTGCTGGGTTGAGGTTTAGAGAGAACTGCAGAAATTGGATATGACGAGAAAATAAAACGTGAGAGTAAATTGAAAATGAGCTTGTGCAGAGAATGTCCAAAGGTCTCCTTCTCTCCCTGACATAAGTGACCAGGTTATGTGCTGAGGTCATCACTCAGCAAAACCAATCCCACGTAATGACCATGTGGCCATTCATGCAGAAGACATCATTGCTCTGCAGAGATGAAAGTGCATTTTCCTTCTATAGATCATTAACGACACCCAATCTCTTGTAAGTCACTGGTCATAAAAGGACCAGAACATGATCATGGGGATGGAAAACACTCGAAAAATCCTATCACCTCAAACCAGGGTGAAAATAGATGTCCCTCCTTCATTGCTCTCAATTTTGTTTAAGTTTGTTTTGTGGCATGGAGAACAAGTGCTTTTCAAAAGCATTTTGAGAAGAATTACCCTGTTTCCAGATTAGATCTTGAAACACCCATCAAGGCTACTTCAGTTGATCTCAATTGCCTCAATTGTACATTCAGGAAGAGTTCATAAAAAAGGAAAGGTTATCTGGTGTGTGATAAACAGCGATCGCTGAAGGCTTCGATTGCCAGATCAAGGCAGACTTAAGTTTTCACAATTAAATAAAGCAAAAGAATAAACTGCTGGCAGAATTCTTGTAAAGAACAGATTCTTTCCCTTCAAAAATATCCCAGAAAGTTAATTCAATGACTGCTATTTTGTGTTACAAATCCAGTAAGGACACAAAGAACAGGCTGAGAGGGAGCAAGCGAAAGCCAGCATCCCTGAACTGTCAGATTTTCCAGACTGTAGTTCAGCTGCTAAGATATATCTTAAATTACCATCATGCTCGAGGGAAAAAAAAATCAATTTAATTCAACTCCTTACAGTGGAAGTGAACTTTGGCCTCCAACTTCAAAGAAAACTTTGAAAGCTACTTTAAAAAGAAATAATTAAAAGAGCAGAAGATCAATAACACTCAAACAATACAGGGAAGAGTTTAATAACTCTGGGTTATCTGGTGCACAGAGAAAGCCACCAAATTTGAAGTGGGGGTGGGAAAAGATAATACAGCCTGAAGGTCTCCCTGGTCAATTAGGTGATCATTCCAGTTTTCCACTTCTGTGATTTTTTAAATCCAATCACCCTCATCAATGAAGAAGAACATTTCCTAACACAAGGATATTTTATTTGTAAGTTGAGATACTGCCTCATTCAGGGTCAAAGGATTTCCTGGGTGATAATAGCAGAGTTCATTATTAGAGAAATGACTGAAAGGGAAGGCTACACTCTGACCTCCACGTGCCCCTGAGGGTAAGAACCGATGTTTGTGCCAAAATAAGGAAATATCGGACTTTCTCTTTTTGCCTTCCATAAAGTCTTCACAGATGAACTTATTACTTTTTATCTTTTTTGAGACAGAGTTTGGCTCTTGTTACCCAGGCTGGAGTGCAATGGCACGATCTCAGCTCACCGCAACCTCCGCCTCCTGGGTTCAGGCAATTCTCCTGCCTCAGCCTCCAGAGCAGCTGGGATTACAGGCACGTGCCACTATGCCCAGCTAATTTTTTGTATTTTTAGTAGAGACGGGGTTTCACCATGTTAACCAGGATGGTCTCGATCTCTTGACCTCGTGATCCACCTGCCTCTGCCTCCCAAAGTGCTGGGATTACAGGCTTGAGCAAAGTTTGTTTTTGATGTCCTCAGTGTCCTTTTTTTTTTTTTTTAATTATTCTTTTACCTTTGAAATGAGGGGAGTCACGCATTCCAGAAAAGCAGAGTAGGGAAAGTGCATGCAAATGGTGCCAGGTGTGACTCATAGAAATACACCATGATCGAGCTGGTAGGAAACTGAAGTAATTTAGCGTGGGGTTGCTTTTAGGGGCCTGGTTGTCATCATATCTGAATGAAGTTTGCTGGGGAAGCACACTAGAGAGTGTCGGGGACTATGGCAATAAAAAAGCCTATATTGGCCTTGAAGTACTGGAAATCAGTATTTTTATAAAGCACCATGAATGTCAAACATGTTTTCTCACCAAATTCAGTTCTTGGTCAGCCCTTGATTCAGGCCTTCCCCCTATTTTTTTGCCGACATGGAAAACTAAAGATCAGGAAATTAAAATTAGTCATCTGGAGTCCCACATTTACCTACCAACCAATTTTAGACTGGAAACAGGACATTCTTTCCCTATCCCTGAAAGTTTTGTGAAAACCTTACTTGGAGGATGATAATGTTGGAAAATAGTGAGAAGTGAGTTCAGAAATGGAAATTGAGGTAAGATTATGGAAAGCCTTATATGACAAACTAGGATTTGTAGGCAAGAAGGAATTTCCGAAGTGTTTTGAGTAGCAAGTCCTATGATAGAAGCTATGTTTTAGCAAGGTTGTATGGTAATGTGTGCCATTTATATCAGAGGAGAGAACATTGCAAGCAAGAAGTTTCAAGAGAAAGTAATTACACTTTAAGTAGGAAGACATGAGAACCTAGACATTGAAAAGGAAGGGACTAATTCTCAAACGGAAAACTGCTAGGATAAGGTGACTTATTGAATTGAGAGACAAAAGAGAAAGAAAATAAGGAGTGACTTTGCAATCCCCAAAGAGAAAATTATATGAAGATTAAATCACTGTACTAGTAATTGTTCTCACTTGACTGGGCTAGAAATATTTATGTAGGGTTAAAAGTCAATTCTACATGTTGACTTTTTTTTCCTACCATTAATAGAAGCAACTCCCCTCTCCTTTTAATGGTCCTAGAAAGAAATTATCTGTGAACCTTGAAATATATGCCCAGAATTTAAGGCAGGTATATAAAAAAGGGATATTTTATATTTTAATTAGTGATGTGCTAAATCATATTTTAAAATAATCTATGAGTGAAATTTTAAGCCAAAGACAACTCAGTCATCTGCAGAAACAGACCATGGATAATATAAAAAAGAACAATTTAAATCTAAATCTATAACCCCAGTTTTTCAAAACTATATTTTCATTTTTTAAAAAATGCTTTTTAAAAAGCAAAGCAGATGAAAAAGAAAGTTGATGATTTGTTTCATATTTCCTCTTTTTTGTGTCACTCATCTTGTTCTAAGAGGGCTGGGTAGTAAGCCTCTCATGCACAGCCACAGGCTCCTGCAGCAGAAGGATAATGAGAAAACTGAGTGGTTTAGATATTTAATAGTCATCTTTTGATTAATTTATTATTGTCATAACTGTGAATCTGGTTTCGTGTTGTCAAATTAAAGGTTTAGCTCGATCTTCCTTAGAAGATAGAAAAGTTATTTGGCAAAAGTTTTTTTAAAAAATGACTTTCAACCATTAGGAAATGAAAAACATGGTGGAGTCCTGGATCCTTCCTCCAACCAGGTTAGGGAGACAGGAGTGGGCTAAATCACTTTGTACTGCTCACACTATGTGGGTCAAATCATGTTTCCACCAGACCCGATATCTAGTGGGAGTTTCGAATAACTGGCCAAACATGAAGTGAAGATGCCGGTCCTGCCCCCTAACCATACTTCCAAAATCTCACCTTGTGGTTCTTATCTAGGACCTTCTGAAGAAGAACACCTTTTCAGACAGCTAGAGTGTAACTTGCCCCCAAGGAAAAGAGTTCTTGAAAAAAATGGGAAACATGGCTACAAGAAAACTGGGAAGACTGTAAGGTGAGAACTTTAAAAAAAAAAAAAGCTTATTTTTTCACTGACTTTTTTTAAGGTATACATAACAAAACTTTTAGCATCTCTTCAGAGCTTTCTCTAAAACTCAGTGTTTGGGCTTCTCTATTACTTCTTCCTCCCTTCTTTTCATCATGTTATGCCACATATTTTCTAACCTTTATTTTAACCTGATATTGCTAAAATTTGACAAAAAGTTTAAAATACTTGAGAATAAAATTGTTAATTTTTTTTTAAAAAAAGGCAAATGTTGGACAATCCATATCAATGAGTTTATGATGCAATCTGGAATCCTTTGAACGATGCATCAGGATGAAACTTTTGAGCAGCCAGCTCAAACAAATCTATCCTGGAACAAATCAAATTTTTTCACCAGTGAGGGAGCCGGATTGTTATTTCCAGGTGCTGAAAATCACCCTGCTGACTGAGCCACAAGCACTGAAACATCCCCTCCAGTTAGTCAACCTGACCAGTAAAAAGTTGTGGCGCTGTCACTACTTCAAGCTTTTTTTTTTTTTTTTTTTTTTTTTTTTGAGAGGTAGTTTCGCTCTTGTTACCCAGGCTGGAGTGCAATGGTACGATCTTGGCTCACTGCAACCTCCGCCTCCTGGGTTCAAGCAATTTTCCTGCCTCAGCCTCCCGAGTATCTGGGATTACAGGCACGCACCACCATGCCCAGCTAAGTTTTGTATTTTTAGTAGAGAGGGGGTTTCACCATGTTGACCAGGATGGTCCCAATCTCTTCTTGACCTAGTGATCCACCCGCCTCGGCCTCCCAAAGTGCTGGGATTACAGGCGTGAGCCACCGCTAATTCCAGCTGGATCAAATCATGCTTAGGGAGAGGACTGAAGAGTTAACTGGGAAAGACAGGTGTTGCTGGCAGTTAAAAGAATAAGTCAACTATTTTGCAACAGAGTGAGAGGCTGATATTTTTGTATCAAGGGATAGAATTATACTTGAAAAGTTTAAGAAGCTTTCCAGAAACGAAACAGTTTAAAACTCTTTGTTGGCAGACTCCATGTTTGGATCCCCTTCAACCAACACTCCCTTGGTAGAAGCCGTTTTTCCCTCTCCTGGATTTCCCCTCTGGGGTCCCCTTCCACACACTCTCATGGAAGCCTGTCTTTCCCTCCTAAACTCCATCTCTCTTTATTCCCTTCCACTCAGTGTGGAAGCTGCTTTCCTCTCCTGGATGCCATCTTTGTGGATTCTCTCGCTCAGTGTGAGAGTCAGCGGTTTCTCTCTCCTTCTCCTTTTTCTCCCCCAAACGACTTTCTACAAAAACAAACAAACAAACAAAAAACAAAATAAACAAAAAAAACTCTTCGTTGAGGACTCTTGATGCCTCCTTTGCTTCACAGACTGATATACCATAGAATTATAAAATTAGGGGATAAGAAGGAGCTTTAGAGAGGGTCTGGTTTAAATTTCTTGTTTTTAGAAAGGAAAAGGAAATCCAGAAAGAAAACTGTCTTGCCCAAAGTTACATAATTTTTCAGGGAATGGGGAAAAAAATGGAATACCATATCCCAGTATGGTTCTGTCTTTTCAAATTAAATTAAGTTATTCATATGTAATGAAGAGATACAATCTAATAAAAATGTAAACAACGCATCTACTTATTTAAAAAACTTAAACAACATACCTAAGGCCCCGACTCTATTCCTAGACTCTCTTTAGGAGAGGTCATTTTGGTGTTTATCGAGGCCAGCTCGGTCATAGGAATCCCCATCCAGGCAGCACTGAAGGTATTGAGAAACAGACATAGAGACAGAGTGCAAAGTGGGACGTTTAGAGCACTACTAACCTTCCGAACTGACAGCCTCAGGAGCTAACAGCCTCGAGCAGATGCTGACCCACGTAGTTATTTTCTCTCAACAGGTGATTATTATTAACAAGCAGGTTTTCTGTGTTTTCTCATAGACCCAAGATAAATTAGGCAGGCAGCTGGTACCTGCCTACCACTGATCAAAGGCAAACCAGAAAGCATTCTCCATGAGGGAGCCACGGGGGCAGCGTCACATATCCTGTGCTTAAAGAACTAGTTTAACTGGTGTATGATATAAATATACTGTTTACTACTTTAGAATGCCCTAAGCAGTTTTCCACTTGGGGGGCTGGCTCAGTTTTCCTTGCCATCGTTCTCAGTAAACAATATAATTCATCACACATGTTAGGACTTGTCCCAGCAGGGGTTTATATGCATTCCTTCATTATACTTGCAATTTAAACCTTGGGTATACTTTAAGGTAAATGGAGCCTTGCCAATAAATTCATAGAAAAATTAATTGTCCTTTCAATAACCATACTCTAAGAGAATGGCTAAATAAACTCTAACCCATCATAGAAAACTTAGTTGGGAAATAGTGATAAATTAAAAAAAAAGTTTCTGAGGAGATGATTTTAATGTATAGGTAATACACAAAAACTTTTATCATTTTTCAAGTTTTATTTTAAAATAAAGACCTTCATAATCTTTCTAAAAATAATGTCTGTATTTCCTTAAAAACAGCAATTGTTTGACTCAAATTTTTTAAAAAAAGGATTGTCATTCTATTCAATAATTATTGACAGAAATTGATGGTATAATATGGGAAAAAATTTAAGTTGACTTTTAGGAATGCATTTTACAAGAGCAATGCAACCACTGAGAGCGGTAGCAATGTGTTTTATACCAAAGTTTCTGATGTTAAAAGTGAAAATAAAATATTCACTATCTTTGAAGCACACCAAATCATTTTAAAGTACGTGTCTCTAGTTAATTTAAACAAAATCCCAGTTTTCCTTTTTCAAATGATGTTATCTTACTCTGAAAGTTTTATAAATGTGATTTCTGAGATTTTCAAGTGAGGCTAATGATTACTGATCGTGTAAAGCAGTCAGAAGTTCATCTCTTCCACTCTACACCCACAGAACATCTCAGAATCTGCTTGAGAATCCTGTTCTTCCTCCATACACCCTGGGAACCCTCCCAAACCCTGTATGCTGCTCAGTAATGCTGATCAAGATATTCCCCCTCCCTGTCTTGAGAATTGCTACAACATAATTGTGTTTGGATGTATGAGTACTCTGGAGGACCAAAAAAAAAAAAAAGGTTTAAAAACTACTGGTATAATTAATATGTACAATACATTTTAAATGAATAAAGTTGACAAAAAAAAACCTTATATTTTTCTTTTTATTGGTTTTTCCTCAGAACTTGAACATTTTATTTCAGGATCTGCGGGATCCTTACCAAGTTGAAAATTTTAACAGAATTCTTAGAAGACTAATTCGAGTTGTAACCCTCTGGTTAGTGGATAATTCACTGGTGGACTTAAGTGCCGTAAGATTGCCAAGGTATCTGCTCTGTAGCACGTGCGGTTACAAGGTTAAAGTCTTTGCTATTTAGATGCATGTGATCGTTGGCTGTACATACTGCACCTGGACTGCAGGGTCCAGCCGTGCTGAGTCTAGAGGGTATTCTCTGCAGGTGCGGAGATGAGAGACTGTAGAAATAAAGACACGATGCGCCGAAATCAAGAGAAAAGGAGTTGGGCCCAGGGGACCATTACCACCAGTACACGGAGACTAGTAGTGGCCCCGGTGCCTGGACACTCTGACTTTTAATGGGTACAAAACAGGGGGCAGGGTAGGTAGAGTGAGTCTATTGAGAGGGTCAAGCAAATCACGTGTCTAAGGAACGGGGGCCCAGGGCTTGCAAGTAGCCGAAGCAGCGGGCAGCGAAATGCAGTTTATGTTATACCAGTCAAGTAAGAACAAAGGCTTCAAGAATTATGCTCCTTCTTGCTATCTACAAAAGAAGAACAGGTGCAGAAGCAGGGCGTGAAAGCAGACACAGGTGTAACCAATACAGCACAGCACCACATAGAGACAAGCCCCAGGGTAGCTGCGGGTTGGGCTGAGAGGTATCAGTCCTCCCACAAGAGCGTGGGGAGTGGAGCGTTCTCCGACTCTCCCAAGCACAGGGAAGTTCTCTTCCAAGGTCAGCTGAGCAGCGGGTGCTTCCCCAAGCACTGGCGCTACCGCAGAGATTTTAGATGCCCTCCAGCAACCCTTATGCGGGTGTGACAGAGGGCTTGGTTTCACATTCAACAGGTTGTCCCTGCTGATGGCCGCCAGTCCATGTTGGACAGGTATTAATGCTCTTGCCTCGTGGCCACATTCCATAGTGTCCCCTATCAGTCCCTGACCACAGCAACTCGAAGTTCCTAGATAATCATGCTTAAAGTACAAGAAGGCTTTAATCAAGGCTTAATGCTCAATAAGATTAACATCTAATCACTCTTGCTGCTTCTTCCTAAACAGAAACTGGCCGAGGCTTAGTCTCCTGCTTTGGCACCTATGAGACTTTCCATCCACACTGGACCTATGTGGTCAGGTCTAAAGGTGACACTTTGCACTACAGTGGCACCTTTGGCAAGGCAAAAAGAGAAATTTATGTATCAAAATGTCCTACTTTAGACGGAAACATCTATTTTTTCAAATTAATATTTTATTACTAAATTTTAGGAAAGTTATTTGAGCAGAAAAGTTTACCATTTTCCTTGTGTTATAAACTGGAAAATGCAATTACATTACATATACATTATGGTTGTAAGATGGTAATATTTAGTCATATTTTTTTGAACACCTATGGGGAAAGACTTTAGAAGGTAGTTAAGAATAGTAGGCATCAGGGTAACATTCTGTTATTGGAGTGGAGGCTGGTTATCAGATTAAGGACAGAAATAAACTAAAACTAAATATATATGTCTATAGACTCTTTGGTCTCTCAAGGATTCCAAACTCATATTGTTAAAAATAATCTCTTTCTGCTCAGGGATTGCTTGAGAATCCTTATTACAGAGAGCTGCTATTTGCTTCAGCAGGCAGAATGGGTAGGTGGGGTGAGCTTTGGCGGCAATGAGAAGAGCCAACAGAGGTCCTCAGGAATGAATTAGATGAAGGAAATTGAGCATCCACAAAAAAGAAGGGTAATTTCTAGAGCAGGTTAAGCTACAATTCTGACCATTGGCTGAGAGATCACAGAACGAGGCCATTACAGCTGTACACAAGGGGCAGCAGACAGGAAGTGCCAGGACATGCAATGTGCCTGCATTTCCTCACCTTCAGTCATTTTCAAAGCCCCTTTGAAACTTTAGACACACTTACATAGCATTTGAATTTACTTCTGCTCTTTTTAAATAACCAATATAAAAATACCCAAATAAAATTTATCAAAAGAAACTTTATATTACTACCATAAATTTAAAAATCAGTATCACTGATATTCATTTATTCAGTATTTCTTTTTTCTTTCTTTCTTTTTTTGGCTAGACTCACTTCTAGGTATTGGGGATACAATAGTGATGCATTACTTATGTTTTGATAATGCATATTTAAATACACATTATAACATTTAAACACATAACAAAAATATATTATTAGTCACAAGTGCCCATAGTATATTTTAGGAACATTGAACTAGAAGATTATTTACCTGTAATATTTGAAGTTCCTTTGATCCAGATCAATAAGCTTTTCAAATTTTTACTATTTTATTTAAAAAAGAAAAATCACAATCATTAAAAGACTTGACCCAGTTTCAATGTTCTCTAGATGCATTTCTTGGTTATTCTTTTCTTTAGAGGTAAGATTTATAATATAAAATTATACAATTGCAAATCAAACTTTACAACTGCCAAATCAACTTATTAGGGAAGAAAAAATCATGGATGCATGTATATTCAAAGCCTCCTTTCCTTATCTCCAGAGAAAGTTGTGCCACCACCCACTTGCTTTGCCCTGCTTCTCTCCCCTAACATTTCCTATTGACTGGGCAATCTATGATGTGGTGAATCTGAGACACTGAAAGGATAAAAGGATACCCATCAAAAAGTGAGAGCATGGCTGGTGAACAAGAAAATAGCAGATTGCAGAGGAGAATGGGGAGAGAGGCAGCGGGGCAAGAACTTCTTGGACTGGGTTTTCAATGAGAAATTGTCATAGTACTGAAGTGTTCCTGAAGTCTATATGAAGTCTGGAAATAAGCAGAAGTCAAAAGTTATCAAAGGTCAGATGAGATCTATATAAAATATACATATGGAGCGGGACTGAAAAGAAACAAGAAAAATAAAAGTAATAGATACAAAAAATTACAATGACATCTGAGTGGTTCAAAGGGATTTTTTTCTCCTAATGCCTGTGTATTGCAATCCTCTCTTTACAGAACCATCTTTCCCATTAGCAATGACCATTTACCAAGCGTCTTTATGGGGCCCAAGACAAATAAATATGTACCCTGTATTTACCTCATGATATTAAATCCTAACTTATACAGTGTCAGTGACAGATTTTGAATTATTTTCTCTATTTGCACAGTCTTGTACAGTTATAGTTTTAAGGCAAAAATATTGAGAAGCAATATCTATCAGGAAAATGTATTAAGTTTAAATGCCTAACACACCACTTTTTAAGAAATTTTTGGTTTTCTTTTATATTAAAAATGCCTCATCTGATTTAAAATGCTGGTTTCTCAGTATAGACTTTTTTTTAATTACAGAAAATTTAAAAAGTTCTCACTACTTAGAGACAGTATTCTTCACAAGGTATTATTTTTGTGTGTGTCTACTTTTGTATTGCTGGGATGATATGCAGCTATTCATCCTTTTCATCAGGATATATCAAGAATCCACCATGGGCCAAGTCAAGTCCCAAGCATATTCATTAGAAAAGAAAGCAGATTCCTATGCTCCACAAGTTAATGGTCTCATGTATCTTGCTTATTTTCTCTTAATATTCTACTATAAATATTTCTCCTCTTTTTGCAAACCATATTTGTCACACAGTTTGCATGTGACCATCATGTCAGTAACATCATTGTTACTCCATTGAGGAGTTATTGTCTAGAGGAGGCATGCTAGTCCTGTGTTGGGTTTGGTAGTAACCATTCTCTTTAGGAGACAAGTAACAAGATGTTTATGTTTTGTATCCAGCTGCAGAATTTTAAACATGAGCAAAAACCATCTCACATCTTTCAAACAATTGCCAAGGATACCTCAGATACAGCATTTATTCTTGGCCAAAAACCACATTGAGACTCTAACTGGACTCTCCAGTTTACGGTGCACTCCACTGGAATCCCTTATTCTCAAGAGGAACCCCTGTGAGTTCCACCAAAATTACAGGAAGCGGTAAGGCCCCAAACACCCTAAGTCACCTTTTGCACCTCATTGAATATTATATTTTTAACTATATTTTAAAATATTGTTTCTCTGCTGCTCGAATTTACCCAGCAAACAGTTATAGAATCTACTCTACGTTGAACACTTCATGCTTCTGATCTCATCTAAAGACTTTTGAACTAACCTTTCTTTATCTTTTAAAAATTTTATCTTAATACACTCTTTTTTCTTGGTTAATTAATAGTTGCTGTAAGATTTTTAGGCTCCTTCTGAAATGACTTTACCTATACAAAGATGCTTAATTTTAGACTTTCAAATTCCACACATTTTGTCCCACATGCTTAATAGATACTTTGTCTTTTAAAGAATTATACATATATATGTATATTTTATTAAGTTCTCTGTGACAATTTTATAAATTGTTAATTCTCTGGTTTTACTTTCACTCTTCGGCCCCCAAGGGCAACATTAAGTGAATACAAAGAATTCAGTTTACTCCAGTGGTTGAAAGAGCTCAAAAACCTGCCAAGAAGAAACCATTTTTATTACTTTGTCACAACTGGGAACATTCCTAATGATAATAATGGAATCTAAACCTTGAAGTGTGCACCCAGTAATATGCCCACCTATTTATCTCCAGCTAATTCCCAGCACCACTAATTAGTGTACTTAGGGGAATTAAAAGGATAAAAAGAAGCAACTGAATTCTACAACTTGTATTTGCACCCATATGACTGCAGGTCATCTCCCCTCACAGTTGAATCTGTCAAACAAAGAGTTAGATCATCTCCAGGGTCGATTTCTATTCTATGATAACAATCATTTGTTTACTTCCATTTCAGTAAAAGACATAGTTTTCACCATCTTGTTTTCTCACACTGCTCTTTTCCCATGAACAGCAACTATATTCCAGAAGCCTATGTGGTGTTAGACTTCACCGCCTGATGTACGAGGAACACTTGTCAAAATAGAAATTCTAATCTCTGTTGTTACATGAATCTCATTACTGCGATTGTCTCCCCTATGACTGTAGTCAGGAAGCAAAATTTCATGTCTGTGATAATAAATTCTTAAACTGCTTTCACATAACAGTGAAAAGTAGCAGCACAGTTGCTACAATATTGAGCTAATATTTAACCATAATAATATTTGGAGGTTTAAAATTATATTTTCTATAATCAGAGGAGGTTAAGCTGGACATTTCAACAATCATTCATAAGAAAGCACATTCCTAGTCATAAAAATAATTTAATAGTATTGTATTTCAGTTTTGTTAATTCATATGTGGGGTTTTATAAAGCATTTTGTTCCCAGCTCAGCCACTTGCCTCTCTTCAAAGAATGCCTTACAATAACAGTATTAAAATGAATTGTCTGAAATCTGATATGCCCTGAGGTCTTACTGTAATTCTGTCTACAAAATTCATGATGTGGTGTAGAGTTATGAAGGAATGAGGAATATAATGAGGTTCTTCTGTTTTTACAGTATTAACTCTATTGGATTAAGTCCAAGGTGTATATAGTTGACTTTGAAGTTATACAAAGCCAGGTTATATTGACTTAGGTAGGGCAGGATTGTGTTGAACAGAAAGATGGGGTCATTTTAAAGTATGAGGAAAAGGTTTAAGCATCCACTCCTGCTAAGGAACTGAGCTGAAGTCAGAAGTTCATTCAAGTATGAGTTCAGTTACCAAGCCAAAAATCCATACCGTGAAGACGGTAACAGCATTCATTCTGTCACTGGGTATCTGTGTGGAGGATTTGGGCCAGAGTGTCGGGTGACTCTTTTTACACACCATGCTCAGAATTATTTGAAGCATAAGCTTTTCTTGATCATCATCACTTAGAATTGTGACTGCTTTCCCCTCCTCCTTTGTTTCAGATCCTCCAATAAGAAGACAGCACAATTCAAAAGAGAAAGGACTTAATGATAGAGCTGATAGTGTAAGTCCCAGTAGGTTAGAAGGTGGCCACATTCCTGGGACACCTACAGGCAAACTTCTCTAACATTCTCCAGAAGTCAAACATGATATTAGTTCATTATAGCTTGACTTAAAAAAAAAATCAGTGGCTAGAAATTCTTGCCAGCTTAGTCTGAATTTTGACTAGATTTTAATATTTGCTTTGTCATCTAGAGGCTTTATGATTTTGAATAAGTTACTTAAAATGAGGGATAAAAACCAATCTGACAGAGTTGTTGTGAGGATTAAAAGAGATGCATAAGAAGTGATTAATGTTAAGAAAATCATGCAGCCAATGGGAACTTTCAAGGAGGTCAGCACCTTCATTAGTTGACTTAGCATATCTGCTAGGAGGTTTCAGTATCTTTCATGCAGGCAAATGCAAATGCCATAGATTTCCCCCAGCCTGAGCTCTCAGAATTCCCAGATCTAGAAAAGCTTTTCATTCTAAAGAAAATGCTGCTTTTTAACACTGCTATATATATGACCACTGTTAACTGGATTGACCTGAAGGATCTCTTTCTGAACATAGAAGTGACTCCCTAAATTTGAAATATGAGCTTTAAAAGTTCTCTCTTTCAGGATAAAATAAAGCACAATATTATTTCCCACTCCCACTTTGATATTTACCAGCCAGAATTCTTCTTTAACTACCACTGAATATCATGGGCTTGCTTTACTTTCTCTCTCTTTCTAAACTTTTAACTTTATAATGAGCACATATATCATGATCTTATTTTTTCTTTTATGGTTAGTTGGCTAAATCCACTTACTGATTTTTTTTTTCCTTATAAGATTGTAAAAACTGGAATGAAATTCTCTTATAAAATCAGACTGTAGGCAGTTCCACTTCTCTGGTCAATATTTACCACTTGCTGAAAGATATATTAGATCCCTGAAAGGGCAAGCTATGACAGGGTCATCAGTTCAATTGACTGAATAATACTTCATTTTAGCTCCACTGCAAAGATAAGCAACACAGAATGAAGTGATTGCCATTCATCTTCCTTATAACAATAGGCAAAATCCATTCACATATAAAGAGAATACGTGAAATAAAATGCTTTTGTTCAATATAGTTTTTTTGTTTTTTTTTTTTTGACTTTTGCTTTAGAGTATTCTCCTGTTTGCCAAACTTAAAAATGCTGGATGGAATCTTGAAGCTACAAGAAGATTGCTCATCACCAGAAACCAATATTTTTTCCAAAATATGTGTTGTATCCTAATGCAGTCTGTATAGAAAGAAAGTAATCATCACTGTCGCTAAAAGCTAATAAATACAGGAAATGCATGATTAAATATTGCAATTTATTTTATATGTATATCTTTTTGCTTTTCTAAATCAAAGTAGGAAAATGTTTTCTGAAAAGGACCAGATGGTAAATATTCAGGCTTTCTGGCCCATATGGCCTGTGTCAACTATTCAACCCTGCCATGTAGTGCAAAAGCAGCCATTGATGATATGTAAATGTATGGACGTATCTGTGTCTCAATAAAACTTTATTTACAAAATGATGTGGCAGGCTGTAGTTTACTGAGCTCTGTTCTAAATTTTAATGTCACATGGTTGATTGCACTATTCACCAATATTCACATGCCTTCCTTGGAAGAGGGGTATGATTCCTTCACTACTGAAGTTAGATATGTCAAGAGACTTGCTTTACTGGTAAAATATAAATGAATGCGTTATAGTTCACTTTCAGGCAGAAAATTTTGAGAAATAGTTTATGCTTTGTCACACTTTCCTTCATTGTGTCATACCAGTGGGCAAATTTCCAGATCAAGGCCTGTTTCTCCAGCTAGGTCCTGAGGTAAACCTGGCGCGGAGCAGAGCCACAGCCATTCTATAAAAGATGGATATTTAGAGAGTAAACCTTTGTTATCATTTGATGTTGCACCATAGCCTACCCTCTCCCTGCTAACACAGCTCCTTAAATTTAGGGACTGCAACATAACTCATTCAATGATGTGTTTTTCCCCTGAAATAGGATAACAGGCACTCAAAATGTTGAATGAATGAATAAATGTCTATTATAGGAAATCATTAATGAGTGGCAGAATTACCAGGTGGGATACAACTTCAAAAGTTTAGGTAAAATGAATACCACATGTCTTATTTATAAGTTGGAGATAAACATTGGGTCTCATAGACATAAAGTTGTCATCAACAGACACTGGGGACTACTATGGGTTGGAGGAAGAGAAGGGGAAAAGGACTCAAAAACTAGCTATTGGGTACTACACTCGGTACCTGGGTGACAGAATCATTCAAACCTCAGCGTCATGCAATATACCCAGGTAACTAACTTATACATGTACTCCCTGAATCTAAAATAAAAGTTTAAAAGAAAGCTTAGGTGAAATATATTAAAAACTTTAATTAGGGCAACAGTGTTGGAAATAGAAACAAGTTATAAGGGCATAGGAAATTTGACAGTTATTATAGCCAACAAATTATTTGATTGTTTAAGCTACTTTATGTTGGGTTATCTGTTTCTTGCAGGCAAAACATTCTAACTGACAAGAAAATCATGGGTTTTATACATAGAGGATAACAAGTGCTGAGTTACTTGGCTATGAGGAAGGCTAGGCTCACTGGTAAGGGTCTTAAGATGTCTATCACGCTGCTTCGAAGATATGTGTTGATGTTGCAATCTGATGTTCTGCAAGGCTGTATGAGCAGTGTAGCCGAAGTTGGTGATACCTGTCTATGCCATAGGAGAACTGATTAGGAGACCTGTGAACTAACTAACATCAAACCCCAAAGTTGAGTTTGTCTACTCACGGTAATGGTGGTCATTCTACCAGTCATCAGTGGTGACCCATAATGACATATCCAATAATGGCATTGCTGTAGTTTCTAGTATGTCTGCTCACTTGACCTTTGTAGTACTTTCTTGCACCGTCTATAATGCACAGAGGTCTAAGCCACTCTCTCCATGGTTTTAGCACACCAGAAGATGTACAGTGCTGGAGAATGCAGGAATTTTTTTATAAATCCGCAATCAAGCTGTATTTGTGGAAATTTTGTGCATAGGTGCCAAAGATGGCTGGCTTCTGACCAACTCTATTTAACTCGACTGAACTACACCAAGCTCTCATCCTAAAACTTATAGTTACATCCACCCTTCTGAAGTATTTAACTACTCTCCAATACACAGGAGGTAATAGGTATAAAAGGAATGTGCATGTGTAACTTAGCATCTCGTATCTAATTTTATGTCCCAAGTTCATTTTTCTCCTGAATGGCCCATGTGTACCAGGTGCAGGATTATCCGGATGGCTCAGTTCAAAACAGTTTCAGGGAATAAGCTGTGTAGGGGATACAATTTTCTGAAAGAGCAACATAATGTGAACAACTCCTTTGTTAGAAAATAATTTCTGTGACAGAAAGCCTTTCCGTTCATGAAGAAAACTTATAAATCAACAAGCCTAGCTCCTCACCAGCTCCAATGAATTCTTGCATCAATTAGCTCTGCAATATCCAATAAAGGACTTTCCAATTGTCCTTTGAATAAAGTGAGGTATTAGAAATAGATCTAAGGAAACTACTTTTAATTCTTCCTAATCTTCAGGGAGTTCTTCCTAATATTGAGCTGGTATCTACCTTCTGCAACTTTCGACTAATTATTCACATCTCTCAAGTGATTATAATTAATTCCATCGTATAGGGATTTTTTTTATCAGCTTCCAGGTTTTTGAAAATACCCAGATATTTTCTCTTATATTCCAATGAAAATGCAAATGGGTAAAGTAGGAGTCTGTGGGGTGAAGAGGTGGTGGAAGGGTAGGGGAAAGCTAATGAGAAATAACCAAAGCAAGAAAAAAGAATTTTATTTTCTTCAAGTTCTTTATACATCTGAAGTGGAAGATTACTACAATAAATTCCCCATAGCAAATTTTAAAAATTAAGTTAGCAAGCTTGCTTTTTAATTTCTTTAGAGGCCAACTACTTTTAATTATTATTTCTTTCCAGAATAGAATTATCACTAATTGTCATTATAATACTAAACTATGTTAATAAATGCCTACTTTTTTAAAGGCTAATTGCAATCATGAAACCAAATATCTAATTAGTTTTAGAGCTTTGGAGCAGATGTATTAATATTTGAATCATTCAGGTGTATATTTACTTATCTGCTTTTTTTTTCTCTTCAAAATAAGTATTGTATGTGTTCTGTTTATAATTTCTAAATGGTCATTTCAAAACTGATTATTGTACTTTACTCAAATCCTAGTGAAATTTGTTGCTTAAAACAATCTTCATTTTCCTATAAACTCTCATTGTCGTTGAGCTATATATATTTTATGGCAATTTTTACTTCACACTTTATATGCTAGTTATTTTTGGCAGTGACTACTACAATGCAAGTTTTTTCAAGGGCAGATTCATCTTAGTTCTTTATACTCCTCAAAAAATCAGTGTTTTTCTCAATGAGTATTGAGTAGATGAGTGAAATTTGAGTGTATAACTTCTTGAAATTATATTTCTGGAGCTGGACAACTTTTTAAAAATACATATCATGAGTCTAAAAACATAAGTTACATGGCTAAAAAAATATTTCGTGAAAACCAAACCTCTCATGGAATCATGAACTTATCTATGGGACACAGGTTAGCCTTAGGGTTGCTCTGGTCTTCTTTTTTCCTCCTTCTCATGACCAAATCAGCTCAATAGTCAGCAGTTCTGTCCTTCCTCTCCTTCTTCCATCCAAGAAGCTAGAGCTGAACTGCTTCACTGCTTGGCCACTGATTGTTGACATGCTGAGTTTTCCACAGGTGGAGTTTTCAAGAGGGCTTTGATTTTGCTTTTCCCAGGTTTCCTTCCTCCACACGTGAAAAGTGGTAAGAGTATCAGCTTTCTCTCTATCTCTGCCTCTGCCTCTGTCTCTCTCTCTCTCTGTGTGTCTCTGTTTCTGTCTCTGTCTCTCTCTGTCTCTCCCTCTCTCTCTCTCTCTCTCTCTCTCTCTCTCTCTCACAGACACACACACACACACACACACACACACACACACACACACACACACATTCTTTTTTCTTCCATGTTCCTGCACGCAGGAGACCTTGCCTTAATCTTGGAAAGTCTACAGCAAGTGGTCTAGGCTGACTCACTGCTAGGCAAATGGAGCAAAAATTCTTTTCTGCTTTTTTGTCTCCATGTCTTCCGGAGCTGGCAGATACAGCTTTTGTTCTATAGGAGTGACTCTTTCTAATGTCAGCTCACCAGGATGATGGTGGCTCTTGCATATTCTTTAGATATGAGTTCTATTGAATTTCAGCACAATTTACCAGACTTTGTCAGTGGCTTTTGGAGCAGCAAAGACTTAATTTTTAATAAAGTGTTATTTTGTTTAACTGGTCATTGTCATCTTCATTTATCTCTTTCCAGAAAATTGTGAGAGGTATTTTTCTAGGGAAAGATTTTGGTATTCCCAAGTCCTGTGGCTAAAATGTCATGCTCATCTCACCTTCTCTTAATATTAGAATATGTGGTTACATATAAAATACAAATATGCTGATAGTTTCAAATTGAACATTCTATCTTATTTAACTTAAATCAAAACCTACTATTAACCATCAAAACAATATATTGAATAAGTCTCATAGATTCCAGTCATCTGGATTCTCAATCTATTGCCAGTCTGGTCTTAGATAGGTTAAAGATCCCCTATGCGTATTGCATTACACAGAAAACTAACAATATAGCAATTCCTTGTTGCCCAAATGAAGAATTAAAATAAGGAACAAATATAAATGTATCTTTACTGTCACACAGAGCTACAAAATGCAAGCAACTGAATATTGGTCTGTATTATTCAGAGTAATTATAGTCTCTTCTTTTGGCTTTCTAAAATAAAAACAAAGACACAGTAAGTGACCACTGAGTAAAAGATCTAAGATGGCTTTCAAATGAATTTGTATTAAGTATCCACAGAGTATATTGTCCATTATATTTTAGAAGTAAAACCCATTTTGATGAAGAATTGTTTTAAAACGTTATTTCGTTTTTGCAAGTAAATCACCTGTTCAATGATTACAGATATTTTCTCTGCTATTAAAATCATTATCCATCCATAACACATTTTAAGAAATCTTTATGTCTTTTTCTCTCAGTAAATTACCATGCATAAACACAAAATAACTCTCTGGTGAAAGAACATAAATGTGTATGGAGAAAATTAATTTTATTATGTGTTATTGTTTTAATATTCAAAACTTTGGGGGATAGTGTTCGGTAGAAAGTCCCGCCATCTTTCCCCCAGGTTTCTTGCCCCCACCCTCCCCCCAGGCTTCCTGCTGCCCTGAGAAAAGCCCGCCAAGCCTCGGCCTATCCTGAACCGACACGTAACCCTTTGAGCCACCTCAGCAGTCTGCCCAGAGACGGACAGCCTATCCTAAGCTCCTACGACACTCCGCCAGCCCTGTGTCCATGCCCCGTCCACCCCCCTATAAAACCCTCCTACCCCAGCTGCGCAGTCACAGCCAGCCCCGATCTCCTTCCTTTCCTGGCCTGCCCGCTGGTCCCAATAAACCTGAACTCGGCTTCCAACTCTCGCTCGAGCTGTTACTTGGGATCGGGTACCGGGCAGGGGTCTACAAGGGGGTCGCACAGATAGTATCTGCACATCTCTGCCCACACTCTGCCATATTGAACTCTCCCTAGCTCTTCCATCTACACAAGAGACACTACGTAATATAGCTCTGATTGAAAAAGCTGTAGCAGCAGGCGAGCTGTTAGATATGAATCAGATACTTTATTTTTTACAGATATCTATATTTTCATAGATAAATATTTTCCAAGGGCAACTAACATTTCGTTAGCAGCTACAATATTCAAGATGCTGGGCTAATCTTTTTAGATCCTGTGTTATTCTCTATGTAACTTCTCTCCCTACTTAAAAAAAATTCTAACAGTAAATAAAGCTTTCGGATGAGTGGACCCTCGTGTTTTCCCTCTGGTATACAAAGTTTTCTCCTATAAATCATTTTGCACTTCGACACTAAAATCCACCTGGGAGCAGATATTCTTCTTCCTTGAATTTTGGCTGGCACACAACAGAAAAGAGAGAGTAGGAGGTAGGCTTGGCAGAAGTGTGACAGTTAGGTAGCTAGCAGTATGAGTGGGCCAGGAAAGGCCTCCCTCCACCCCACCAGGAATGTCAGGCAACCATCAGCTGATGGTGAGGTGGCAGGCGATTGTCACACTACCTCTCTAAAATAATAATTGGTTGTAGCCAGTGCCAGGGCAAGGCAGTTTCCCAACAGATAAAAATACCTGTTACTAGTGATCAGCAGCTTCCCAATAAGATCTCAGGAACTGGGTGAGTGGGCTCGAGCATGTGCATTAAGAGGCAACATGGTGGTATTTAACTAGTACACGACCTTCCAGGGCATTTCACTGGAAGAGGGAAGAACACCTTAGGGGACTACGTGTACAGCTCCAGTAAACACACTGCTCATGCTCACCTCTCAAGTACTACCAGGCTGCCGTGTATGCAAACAGCTTATGGCATGGGAAGAATAAAAGGAAATGGGATGTAAGACACTGGAAGTATGCCAGCATATAAAACCGCAAGTCAAAAGCTCAAATTCCACACTTGACCACCAAGATGCCCACTTGGCCTTCTTTCAATTCTACTTTAGTTTCTTTTTATTCTTGTTCTTTAGCTTTTTAATAAACTCCCACTCCTGCTCTAAAACTTGCCTCCATCTCTTCTTCTGCCTTATGCCCCTCAGTTGAATTCTTTCTTCTGAGGAGGCAAGAACTGTGGTTGCTGCAAACCCATATGGATTTGCCACACGTAACAGAAGCGCCACTGGGCATATACTAGGTGTGATGGTTAATTTTATGTATCAACTTGATAGCGCAACTATACCCAGAAATTTGATCAAACATTATTCTGAATGTTTCTGTGAGGATGTTTTTTTTGGATGCAGGTTACGTTTAAATTGGTGAGCTTTGAGTAAAACAGATTGCTCTATGTAATGTAGGTAAGCCTCATCCAATCAGTTAAAGGCCTGAAGGAATAATACTTCCCCTGCACCCTCTTCCTCCTGTATGAATAAACTTTTCTTAGAAGCTGGCCTTTGGACCGAACTGCAACATTGGCTCTTCCCTGGGTCTCCTCTGCCCACTGACCCTGTAGATTTGGGATTTGCTAGCCTCCATAATCGCATGTGCCAATTCCTTAAAAACTTGTCTCTCCCACTCTGTCTTCTCTCTTCCCTATTGCTTCTGTTTCTCTGGGGAAAACTAACTAATACATCAGGTAGCCAGCCTACGACACGCATCTTTTGTTTGCTTCCAGTATTCTCTAAGAAAGTAGTCATATTAATGTTTTACCCTCATTTCTGTGTAGTTGGAGATTCCTCTTTCAACACAGCCTGATATTTTCCTCTTCTGTGGCTCACTTATACTCCATGTTTGAGGCCAACAGCTTTTGACTTTTGATACTAGAAAGAAAGATTTTGGAATTTAGAAAAGCCTTTTCTCTCTCAAGAGCCTTGCCCTTGCCATTGAAAGTCTAGCTTTCAAATTCTTTTTGCTAAACACTTTTTAAAGTCTATTTTGAAAATCAAAGGTGAACAATGACTTTTTTGCCCTTGGTTTTTTCTCTATCACACCCTAAGGCGATGGATGCTTCAGCACCGTCACTTAGAGAGCAAAGGCGAAAAAACCGGAATCCATTAGCTAATATTTGTAAATATTTTTACTCTGCAAGAGAGGGGCATAAAATGCAATTCTCAGCCCTGGCTTCATATTAGAATCATCTGAGTAGCTTTTAAAAGTATCAATGCCCGGCCGGGAGCGGTGGCTCAAGCCTGTAATCCCAGCACTTTGGGAGGCCGACGTGGGTGGAACACCATCCTGGTCAACATGGTGAAACACCATCTCTACTAAAAATACAAAAAATTAGCTGGGCATGGTGGTGCGTGCCTGTAATCCCAGCTACTCAGGAGGCTGAGGCAGGAGAATTGCCTGAACCCAGGAGGCGGAGGTTGCGGTGAGCCGAGATCGCGCCATTGCACTCCAGCCTGGGTAACAAGAGTGAAACTCTGTCTCAAAAAAAAAAAAAAAAAAGTATCAATGCCCTACCCACACTCCAGAGATTCTGATTTAATTGGTCTAGAGTGAGGCTCAAGTGTTACTATTTTGCTAAGCCTTTCAGGTGATTTTTGTGTGTGTGTGTGTGGGGGTGGGAGATGGAGTCTTGCTCTGTCACCCAGGCCAGAGTACAGTGGTGTGATCTCGGCTGACTGCAACCTCTGCATCCCGGATTCAAGCAATTCTTCTGCTTCAGCCACCTAAGTAGCTGAGACTACAGGTCTGCACCACCATGCCTGTCTAATTTTCGTATTTTTTAGAGACAGGTTTCATCATATTAGCCAGGCTGGTCTCGAACTCCTGACCTCGTGATCTTCCTGCCTCAGCCTCCTAAAGTGCTGGGATTACAGGCTGGCCCCTTCAGGTGATTCTAACGTGCAACCAGGTGAGGGAACCACTGGTGTAGAGGGAAAGACACTGAACAGGCTCTAGTGCCTCGTGTTGCCATGAAGTAGCAGAGAGAGTC